TAGATAAAGAACATCAAAAAAATATTTTTCCTGGCTTTCTCAATGAAAACTATAATCTAGATAATGTTAACTTAACTTTAAAACAAGACAATGAAATTAAGATTTTGGTTAAAAGGCTGCTAAAGGAAAAGTTAAGTGTCTATGCTTTCCTTGTAACAGGGTTTTTAGAAAAGAAGTTAAGATATAACACACTGTCAATAAAAAACACAGCTATGGCTAGTATAAGGTAATTATATTGACTTTTGTTTTGTTGAGCAGCAACATGAGTTAATAGAAATAAATATAAACCATTCTTATTTTATAGGTTTGGGATTTCACCTGCCGCAACTGCAGCAATTGCTACAAGTTATCTTCAAGATTTAATTGAAGCAGGATTTCTCACCCCTGAGTCCTCTTACCTTGCTTGTGATCCTTCTAAGTTGACGAGAGAGAGAAAAAAGGTGATGGTAGTTGCGAAGAAAAATGATAATTTAAAACTTCCGAAAGCAGATAATATTGCCATTTACTTTGACGGAAGGAAAGATTCAACAAGAGCAATGAAAAATGATTCAAATGGACAGCTACATCCTATTATTATCAAAGAGCAGCACATTACTGTGACTATAAAACCTGGTGGTCGATATCTCGGCCATTTTACCCTAAATGCACCTAATCATCTAGATAAGCCAGCTAAAAAGATTGCTGAAGGTGTTTATAATTTGCTGCAACAATATAATCTTACTGAATCATGTTTAGTATTTGGAGCTGACAGTACTTCAATTAACACAGGCTGGAAATGTGGTGCTATAACGCATCTTGAAAAGCTGTTAGGTCACAAGTGCCACTGGGCTATATGCATGCTTCATTCGAATGAATTATTTTTGCGTCACCTTATAGAAGGCATTGATGGACCAACATCATGTAGTACTGGATTTGTAGGTCCTGTGGGAAAATTTCTTCCTGGTGTTAATAAAATGGAGTATAATCCTCAATTTAAAGCTCTTCAAAATGGAGAGAGCTTTGTCAACATTTTAGAAACAATATTAAAAAATATGTCAACAGATCAGAAACAATGTTACAAGCTATGTAAAGCAGTTAAGATTGGTTTATTGCCATCTAATCTTAGAGAAATTCAATGTGGCCCCTTAAGTCATGCCAGATGGCTCACTACTGGCATGAGAATAGTCTTTATGTGGACAAGGAAACACAACTTAAATGAGCAAAATTTGCAAAATCTAGAAATACTTGTTGTATTTTGTTTACAATTTTACTTTAAAATTTTTTTTTGACATAAAGGTCAAAAACAGACTTGAAAATGCTTCTTATCACATTCTGTCTCAATTGAGAATTCTTAGAATGCAACCTGATAGAGTAAAAGAAATTGTGTTTCCCTACATCCAGTTAGGGGCTTGGTATGCGAACCATGAAAGTATACTAATCTCTTTATTATCTAGTAATAATGCAGAAGATCGCAATTTTGCAGTTGATCAAATTTTGAAACTAAGGGGTAATGATATCCTTGGAGATATGCGAATCAGACCAAGAAAAACACCTAAACTTAACTTTGCAGCAACTACTCTTCAAGAGCTAGTTAAATGGGAAAATGGTGTTGTAGAAGAACCTGTTTTTACTTGTTCGCTCACCAGAGATAAGTTGTTATTACTTAGATTGATACCTTTAATAACACCTTCGATTAAAATTCATACTCAAAGTACTGAACGTGCTGTAAAACAAGTGACAGTAGCATCCATGTCAGTAGTTGGACCATATGCAAGAGATGGGTATATTAGAGCTAGAGCTCAGCATAGAGAGTTGCTACCTGTTTTTAAAACAAAGAAAGAAATTTTATTAAATTTTTAACTTCAATAGATTTTTATTTTATTTGTTTTTTAATAGTGTTTTAGTAGTTCTATCAAAATATTATTGGGGTAAGAAAGGGATAAACCACCTATTTTTTGGTGAAAGTATAAAGAACTGTTATGATCAAATTTTTTAATCATTAGAACCTCACAAAAAATTGAATACCCCCTCCTCCTCCCTCTAAAAAATGCAGAATCTGCACTGCAGATAGGATCCATGCAAGATAATGATTTTAAAAAGTATCTAAAAAACTTTTAATAATCTAAAAATATTATTTGCATTTAATATTTTATCGCAATGAAAATGAAAATATAAAATACAATGAAGGACATGTGACAAATTAGATTTTACTAATTTTTGCTATTTCTAAAAGTCCATATTTGGGTATCAAAACTTTTTCCGATCAAAAATTTTTTTAAGAAACCCTATTTAAAATTTGATTTTACATAAAAGTACACCTTTTCCTAAGCTTTTAGAAAAAAAAAAAAAAATTCGCTGTACCCTAATGATGATGATAATGATGATGATGATGTAATTATATTGATGAGTATTATAATTTTTAGATGATATGCGACTCTTTTGTTTCTGACCTTAAGATTCCATTGAATGGATATGAATCTGTAAGTAATTAACTTTTTAAAAACTAAATGAAATTATTGATATTTCTAAGTTGTATAACTTCCACATTATGTCTGAGAGGAGAACAGGAAATTACAAAAATAGTAGTTTAAATCATAATTTAATAAAAGTTAATAATCATAAATTTTATAAAAATTTGCTAAAAACAACTTTATTTTTTCTTGTTATATTACATAACTTATAATAAATTAGTAACCTCAATGAAATAAAATTGGAACAAGTTTTTACTTTACAAAAAGAATTAGTTGATGGGTCATTCCATCCAAATGGACTGAAATTTTGGGATTCTAACACGGACCCCTCAGATTTTGATGAAACTTGGTGGGTTGGTTTATATCAATGGGAAAAGCAATTCCTGAAAATTTCAGTTTAAAATTCTTTGTGGTTCATTAGATATCGCCATTTGAAATTTCTGATTTTTCTAAAAATTAAAACTTTGTTAGCAAAACATGTTTTGTTCATACTTTGAAGCTCTGTATTTTAATAACGAAAATTCAGAAAACCTTCTAGTTTTTTTTATTATATACAACTGTAGGCTTACTTTGTTAAAACCTTGACATTGAATTTTTTTAATGTCACATTTTATCCATAATGGCTGCCTAAAAAACCAAAAAAAATGTTTGTAGATATAAAAAGTTGATTTTTGATGGGTCAATATATAAAATTAGCAACTTTAGAGGTGAAAAGACATATCTTTTTAGTTTCTATGTATGGTAGGCTTCCTAATTTTTAAAAATTTGCTGATAAGATACGATTAGAAATAATGGACTCCTAAAAATGGCTCTGGGTAAAACTTAAAAAATTGTGCCAACCCTTTAAACCACCAGTAACCTAGGATCAACACTGATTCTTATAATAATTTTTTTTTACTGATTTAAAAGACTTTAATAAGTGATTTTAGAAAAAAAATTAGTGGGTACTCATGGGAAGGGAAAAAGTCATGGGAAAAAGTCATGGGAAGTCAAGGGAAAAACTCATGGGAAGGGAAAAAGTCAGAGCAATGAAGTTGGCACAAAATGCATTAAAAACGATAAAAATATAGGTATTGATGTACTTTAGTTTTCATTATCTACAGCAATGCAAATATATATATATATATGTATATATATATATATATATATATATATATATATATATATATATATATATATATATATATATATATATATACTTAAATATATATATATATATATATACTTAAATATATATATATATATATATATACTTAAATATATATATATATATATATATACTTAAATATATATATATATATATATATATATATATATAACAGTATATCATAACCATTACTAACGTTACTACAGTATATCATAACCATTACTAACATTAATAACGCATATTTTTGCACAGAACCTTAATCTTAAAAAAAATTTGTTATTAAAGGTTTCACTGATTTTTTTAAAATGCATGAAGTGTCTTTATGCGCAAAATAAGAATTGAACATGCACATTAAAAAGCTGTTAAATGATAAACAAGTTATTGGGTGTACTTTTTATTATTTTATATATAAAATTTATCATTTTGTATTTAAGCTTTCTTCTTATGGTGTAGCTGGTAACGTCTTTAAGATTATTGAGTCCTTTCTTTTCAATCGTAGTATAAAAGTTGTCCTCGATGGACAACACTCTTCTTCACATCCTGTAACTTCAGGGGTTCCTCAAGGTTCAATCCTTGGCCCTATACTCTTTTTAATTTACATTAACGATCTTCCAGATATTCTCACATCTAAGGTGGCATTATTCGCTGACGACACTACCATTTACTCTTGTCATGATAAGAAGCCTACACTCTCTGGTTGCTTGGAGGGGGTATCTGAGCTTGAAAAGGATCTCACTTCTGCTACAGCATGGGGCTCACAGTGGCTGGTGAACTTTAATTCAGATAAAACTCAATTTTATTCGGCCAATCGTTATCGTAATAATTTAGATCTTCCTATATTTATGAATGGTAATGTACTAGATGAGTCATCTACCATTCATCTTCTAGGATTAACTCTTACTTCTGATCTTTCTTTTAAACCGTATATCAAATCCATTGCAAAATTAGCATCTGCTAAGGTTGCATCTCTTTATCGAGCTCGACACTTTCTTACTCCAGATTCTATTCTCTATCTCTATAAATCTCAAATCCGTCCCTGTATGGAATACTGTTGCCACATCTGGGGCGGATCTTCTAATGAAGCTCTTTCTCTTTTAGACAAGGTGCAAAAACGAATTGTAAACATAGTTGGACCTGCTCTGGCAGCCAATCTCCAACCTTTGTCACATCGTCGTAATTATGCTTCTCTTTCTCTTTTCTACAAATACTATAATGGGCACTGCTCTAAAGAGCTAGCGTCCCTTGTGCCATCTACTAAAATTCATTCTCGTGTTACTCGCCATTCAATTAAGTCTCATCCTTTTTCTGTGACTGTTCCTAAGTGCTTCAAAAACTCTTATTCTTCTAGTTTTTTCCTCGAACATCAGTTCTTTGGAATTCGCTTCCTTCATCTTGCTTTCCTGATTCATATAATTTGCAATCTTTTAAGTCATCAGTCAATCGTTATCTTGCTCTACAGATTTAGTCTTTTCTCTTCCAGTAACTTCCAACTCTTATAGTGGTTGCTTGCAGCCTTGTTGGAAGTGAAGATGTTAAAAAAAAAAAAAAAAAAAAAAAAAACTATTATGTCAAAACTCATGGAAACTTTGCTTTACATTTCAAAGATTAAAAATAATAAAATAATATTTTTAAGATAATAATTAAAAATAAATGGCTAGTGCATCCTTAGATCTAAATCAATGTTGCATTGGAAAAACATTAAATAAAGATTGTCATGAAGGAAAATTTACCAAACTCAAGAAAATTAGATATTTTGAGGAATTAACCAAAAAAGGTCAAGAACTTGTGCACTTATAATGTAAAGTTAATTATATAAAAACTGTTTGTTATCACCATGAAAAGATCTTCTTGAATAGATTTGAGTCTTGGTACGATGGAAGCTTTTGTTGTAATCCATTAACAAACAAAAAAATTAATATAAAAAGTATTTAAAAATAAATACTTAAATAAGACTTAATCAATTATTTTAAAGGTAAAGACTTATTTAATGTTTTATCATTTTGTTTCTTTTTAGAATCTGTCAGAGTAATTAGTGTTGCTGTTGCAAAGGAATTTGATTTAATACCTGGTCATAAGCTTTGTACAGAATGTCATAAAATATTCTATTTAAAAAATAACAAAAAAGGTTATGAAAGCGATTTATGTAAAAATAAAGACAATGATTTTAATGAAATTCATATTTCAAAAGAAAACTTTAATTAAAGCATTAATACCCTTGGTTGTTTACCTCCTACATTAGTATCCCATAAAGACAGGGTCAGCTATGCAAAAAGAAGATGAACAAGATCCATACTGCCACTAAAAAGAAAACAGCAACTGTGATGAACCAAAAACACAAGAGCTATGTTGTGAAAGTAAACAAAACTTGGACTCACTAATGGAATTAATTAAAGCAAAGTTTGATATTTCTTCAAATCATAAAAACTTAAATTACTAACTTTGGTTCCTGAGAATTGGAACATTGACTATACACAAAACAATTTTTCTGCTTCCCAAAGAATGATAAAAACTGCAAGACATTTGAAACAAATGCATGGCATAATGGCAGAACCGTCTAAAAAAGAAGGAAGACCTATTAGTGAGAAAGTAAAAAATCAAGTTAATGAATTCTACCAATCAGGTGAATACTCTCGAATGGGTCCAGGGAAAAAGCAGTTTGTCTCAATCCAAGGCGATGTTAAAAGACAACATTTTCAAAAAAGACTACTAATACTTAATATAAAAGAACTTTATTTAGAGTTTGTTAAAATTTCCTTAGATGTCAAGATTTGATTTTCTACGTTTTGCGAACTTAGACCAAAGTGGTGTATTCCTGTTAGAGGTGCTTTAAGTCTCCACTAAGTATGTGTTTGTGAGTACCACCAGAATGCTAAACTTTAAGCATTAAAAATACCAGATATTTCAGACTATAAAAATCTTTTGATATTAGTTGTATGTGACTTAACAAATCAAGACTGCATGCTGCACAGTTGTGATAATTGCCCAGATACTGACACACTTAAAGAGTATCTTACTACTATATTTGATAAATATAGCATTGAAGAAATCTTATTTAATCAGTGGCAAAAAGCTAACAAAAAACATGATATAGTTCCAGTAACTCTTCCAGTGGATGATTTTATTGAAAAAGCTTGTCAACAAATAGACCAATTAAGAGACCATCACTATATAGCCAAAAATCAAGCAGCATATTTGCAGCATCTAAAAATCACATTACCAAGTAATCATATTTTAATGTTACTAGACTTTGCTGAAAATTACAGTTTTTATAATTCAAGATGCAGTACAAGGTTGTTCTTGGCTGTTGTTCTATTGGAACAACAGCCAAGCAACATTGCATCTTTTTGTTATTTACTTTATGGAAGAAAATAAGATAAAATGTAAAAATATTTGTATCATCTCAGAACATTTGCAACACAATACAAACTCAGTTCATTGTTTCATTCATGAAGTATTAAAACATTTAAAAGAGTTAATACCCTACTTCAACCATTGCATTTGTTTCAGTGATGGTACAAGTTCACAATACAAAAATTGTAAAAACATATCTAACTTATGTCACCATGAACAAGATCATGAGGTATCTGCAGAATGTCATTATTTTACTACATCGCATGAAAAGAGTGCTTGTGATGGTGTTGGAGACACTGTCAAAAGACTTGTAGCAAGGGCAAGTTTACAATTACTAACTGATCCTATCAATTCATCTGAGAAAATGTATGACTATACGATTCCACTTGCCTTTTGTTCACCAGGGATTTATATAGCATGTGTTTATGATAAAAAATGGTTTTTAGGTAATATTGTGCAAGTATCTGAAGAAAATCAAGATATCCTTATAAAGTTCATGAAGTAGTTTGTTCCTCAAACACTTTTTTTTGGCCACATAGGGAAGATATTTGCTGGGTTTCATTACGCATGTTCTATGCAAAATTTCATCTTTAAAAGTGCAATCAGCAACTGGTAGATGCTATGAACTATCAGCTCATGAAAAAACTGAAATACTACATTTTTACAGTAGTATATATAATAACAAAATTATATAATAATATAGCAAAATTCTTATTAATTTGATCAATCCAAATTTTTTATTAAAGCAAATTTGAATGATTCAATTTTTATATTGATTTTTTATTAAATAATAATATTTGTATTACATACTATATGTTACATAATAAACTTGTGTATTGTGATATACATGAATACCTATATTTTTATCGTTTTTAATGCATTTTGTGCCAACTTCATTGCTCTGACTTTGTAACTTCCCCATGAGTACCCACTAATTTTTTTTTCTGTAATCACTTTAATAAAGTCTTTTAAATCAATAAAAAAAAATTTATTATGAAAATCAGTGTTGATCCTAGGTTACTGGTGGTTTAATCAGTTGGCACATTTTTTAAAGTTTTACCCGGAGCCATTTTTAGGAGTTTATTATTTCTTACTGAATCGCATCTTATCAGCAAATTTTTAAAAATTAGGAAGCCTACCATATATAGAAACTAAAAAAATGTCTTTTCACTTCTTAAGTTGCTAATTTTGTATATTGACCCGTCAAAAATCAACTTTTTATATCTGCAAACAATTTTTTTGGCTTTTTAGGCAGCCATTATGGATAAAATGTGACTGTGATTAAAAAATTCAATGTCAAAGTTTTAACAAAGTAAGCCTACAGTTGTATATAATAAAAAAACTAGAAGGTTTTCTGAATTTTCATTTTTAAAATACAGAGCTTCAAAGTATGAAAAAAACATGTTATTGCTAAAAAAGTTTTAATTTTTGGAAAAATCAGAAATTTCAAATGGCGATATCTCATGAACTACAAAAGATTTTAAGCTGAAATTTTCTGGAATTACTTTTTTCATTGATACAAATCAACCCACCAAGTTTCATCAAAGTCTAAGGGGTCCATATTGGACCCTGGTTCACTTGGCATGGAACAACCCTGATACATCAGAGTATAATCAGTTTGTTAGATATTTGGTGAAAAAATTTAAATGGGGTAGTAGACTAGTAGTAGAACACTTGGCTCATAATCAAGAGTTCAAAACTCTTGATTATAAGCCAAGTGTTGATTACCACACTTAATCTCAATGCAGCAACCTTGTTTAATATTATTTGTGTCTCAGAATTTAGGCTTGAGAGAGAGAGAGAGAATTGTTAATAAAGTTTAAGTCCCATTGGAGCCTGGGAAGGTGAATTTAATTACAACAAATACCTTAGTTGTTAACAACAATTATTAAGAACACAGTACCCCATGTAATATAGAAATAAGTTCTTTCAAATTTTTTATTTAAATTGTTTTATTACTTAAAAAAGATTGGGGAAAATGTTTTATAAAAATAATTTTGTTCATGATGTTTTATAAAAATAGTTTTATTCACCTCAGATTTACAATTACTTTGTATAGAAGAATGTAAAGCAGTATCAGATTATTTGGCCAATATATATGTGTGTGTGTTTAAAATATATAATTACTGGTAAAATATATAATTACTGGTAAAATATATAATTACTGTATATTATACCATATATATTTACTGGTAAAATTTCATATCGAAATATATAATTTTCCTTATTTGATTTTAATTTTTTGACTTTTGGGTATTTTAAGCCTATTGTTAATACCCTGATATTAGTGCATCGTTCTTGTGACTTTATTTTTTAAATATTTGAATGAACATTTTTTATTGTTATCATATTTTATTTTAATTTTAAGCCAGTCATGTTGCAACAAAAATACTCAACCCAAATGTGAGTCTTGTTATTTATTTATTTATTAATTTTTTTTGTAGCTTGCTATATTTTTTTTTATTATTACATTTTTTTCTATTAGTTATAAAGTTGGATTTTTAAAACAACTAAAGGCAACATTATGGCGATCTTGGATGTCTGCACGAAGAGAGCCTTACATTAGCACCATTAGAATCATGCAAAGTTTTGTGGGTTTTGATTATTTGATACAAAAAAAAATTATATCAATTTACAAATTGACATATTGTCATAAATGTCAGTTTGTAAATTGATATTTATAATAATTTTTATGGTATCAATGTTTATCTTAAATCAGGTAATGGCTCTTATTGCTGGTCTAGTTTACCTAAGAGTTGGAGACAGTGAATCACAGGACAAAGTCATGAACATTAATGGAGCAATCTTCTTTAGTGTGACCACAATGTCATTTGGTTCAATAACTGGTTCTTTGTTTGTAAGTAAATTTCATACATACTAATCTTATTGCTAACACATTTAAGACATTAACTTTTGAGTAATATGAATATATATAGAATAGAATATACAGCATTAACAAGTACACATATGTTAAATGACTTTCTTCAACTATTTAAATATAAAAAAAGATTCATATTAATTTTTAACTAAAATTAATTAATTAATTTTAGTTAAAAATTAATGATCTTAAGAGTATTAAAATTTTATTCTTTAATATTAAAATTTTTCTATGTTGTAAGATGGTTTTTTTTTTTTAGGTGTTTCCTGCAGAACTTCCTGTTTTCTTAAAAGAACACAAACTTGGAATGTATCGAACTGATGTTTACTTTATTAGCAAAACATTGGCAGAGGTTATTTTATGTATTTAGAATGCATGGCCATTATTGATATATATTTAAGTCAAAGATTTTGTAATATTAGTTTTAATAACTATAAGTAATATATAATTTTTTTTTTTTTTTTTCTTTTTCTTGTTATTTCCATTTGGCTTTTTTTATCTTTTTTGTAATTTCTAAAAGTTGATTATTGGTACTAGCTATGTCAGAGCAAAGTGGTACAGAAGGAAGTCATCAATGATTTGATGCTATTAACTCATTTTCCAAATAGCTCTTTTTTAATTAGGACTGTAATATATTTCAATAAGTGTTTAAACTGTTGGTTGTGATGGTGCTTTTGTGTATGATTTTTTTCTATTCCCCAGACAAAATTTTAGCGAGCTACTTCTTATCTATAATACGAAGCTCGCAAAGTTTTTTCTGCCATGATTTTAGAAACACTAAGAATCACTTCAAGGAGGAGTTGTATAACGTTCAGTTGATTATCAAATAATATTTACAAAAAAAAAAAACTGAAAAAGTTTATACAAGTATAAATTTGGTATCTTCAATTGTTTATATGCTTAACAAATTTTTTTATAAAATTATGTGTGCATTTATTCTTGAGCAACTTTATAAAAACGTTTTTTTTGTGTGCGTGTGTTAAAGGTAGTTAGGTTAAAGGTAGTTTTTAGAACATTTTTATCTTAATTGATATTTCTTTTGTTTTATAGTTTCCATGGTATTTCATTGGTCCAGTAATTTATTCTCTTATCTATTACTTCATGGTTGGTATGAAAATTTTAAAAAGTTTTTAAATTTTTATACCTTGATGTTTATGATTTTTTTAACAGGGTACTTTGTTATTTTTAGGACTTCGTCTAGACACAGCAGCTTTTTTTCTCTCCCTTGTTGTTCTAGAGCTTTTAACACAGAGTGCTCTATCATTTGGTATATTTTTAACATAAAAAAATTAAACATTAGGGTTTCACCATGTATACATACATATATGTATATATGTATGTATGTATATATGTATATATATATACATATATATATATATATATATATATGTATGTATGTATATATATAGATATATAGATATATAGATATATAGATATATAGATATATAGATATATAGATATATAGATATATATATATATATATATATATATATATATATATATATATATATATATATATATATATATATATATATATATATATATATATATATATATATATATGTGTATATATAGGTGTGCATTAAACATGGATAGCTGTCTGCAGGGGCTACAGAAATATACATCAACAAAAGTTTGGTTCAAGCAGTTTACAAACAAAAATTTCACCAAAAAAAAGCTAAAATTCGAAATTAAAAATTATTGCCACAATTGTGCCAATAAAATTTTGATTTAAAATGCCAACTTAAGTCTGGACAGTTTTTCAAAAAAAGTAGAAAAAAATTGTTTTTTTTTCTTTGCTGTTATAAAAGTCTTTCATAGTACTTCTCAAATCTAAACACTTATTAGTTGTATGTACTGAAGCCCTTGCAGATGTCTTTTTCAGTATGATATCATCAATGAGGTTTTATGCAAGACTAGGTAGGCTAGTTTTTTTGATTTGTTTGAGAAATCATTAGTATTTTCATTTTGGGCGAGAAGTTAATAGTTTTTTTTTGCTTTTGATCAAAAGATAATTTAGTTTTCAATAAATAGCTTAGTTTAAAAAATTCAATATTGATAAACATAACAAATTTAACTTTTGAGATTTTATTGTTGATTGTTATTGTAAAATAACAATAATAATTTTTTAACTTTATACAGAAGCAGTCTAATTTAATTTTCTATATTGTTAAGATTCGTCCAATTTGTAGGGTATTTAGTATCTGCTGTATCACCTACTATTCAAGTTGCAACAGGGATTGGTCCACCTTTGATTATGCCTTTCATGTTGTTTGGTGGCTTTTTTCTTAAAGATAGGTACCACAAAATGAAATTTGTTTAATTGTCAATTCATTTTTCTTATTTACATTGTTTGTTATCTCAATTCACTTTAATTCAATTTACTCATTTTTATTGATTATCATGACAGTTCACTTTATTTGTTCACTTTTTTGTTTGTTTGTTTGTTTATTATCATGACAATTCACTTTATTTGTTCACTTTTTTTGTTTGTTTTTTTGTTTTTTGTCATGACAATTCACTTTATTTGTTTACTTTTTTATTTTGTTTGTTTGTTTATTATCATGGCAATTCACTTAATTTGTTTTAAGACCATGTTTGTTTGTAAAAAATAGTGTTTACAAGCATTTTTTTTTTTTTAGATCAATTCCTGTATATTTTATTTGGTTAAAATGGCTTTCTTGGTTTAAATATGCAACGGAGTGTCTTCAAATTATACAGTGGGATGAATATGGAGCAATAGGTATATCTATATATTTGTATCTATAAATAATTATAAAAGCATGCTTTTGCAAACTGTGATCATTTGTGCCATCATTGTTTTTTAAAGCTTAAATTGTTTATGATAAGCATTTTAGGCTGTTTAACTGTTATTAAAATTGTCTATTCTCTGCATTTAGCTCATAAAATAACTATAAAATAGTGTATGACATTTGAATGAGAGCTTTCATCAATTCATAGATATCAATACTTGATCTCATTCCTTTAGTAAAGTTTAGAGTTTATAGAATAGAGTTTTTTTTTTTCTATGAAATACATCTAAATTAATTTAATATTTTACTTCTGTTAAGAGAACTGTAAATTAATGTCTGAAGATAATAGTAAAAATTTTTTTAGGTTAACATGAAAATGTTTTATTTTCGTCCGTTGTATTTAATGAATTTTTATATTGGAAACAATTTATGTCCTAAAAATATTGTTTTTAACTCTATAAAAAGAGATTATTTTTTTATTTTTAAACTGCAAAAAACAAAAATTGTAAAATAATTGTTGTGGAAATATGTTAAGAAGTTCAATGTTTTGACAGGCATCTTGATTTAGCAAGAGAGAGTATTATAAAGGTAGATATCCTTGATATATAATATATTTGTAATATGTTAGCATTAATAGAAATAAAGTACAAAGCATAGATTTAGTGTCAAATATATTATTGAAAAAAAGCTAAAATTAGTACAAAAAGCCCAAGATGTTTGCACAAAGTGTGCAAATAAAACTTGATATATTTCTATAAAGAATAATTTTCGAAATTTTCAATTTTTTATAAGTTTTGGATTTCCGTAATTAACTAATATTTTTGCGTAATTGCAGGCGGATGTTCAGGTAACCAAACAATGTGCTACCATGATGGAAAATCTGTTCTTGTTACCAACGGTTATTCAGCGGTTTGTATAGATTTTTTTTTTTAATAAAAAAAAAAGGATGTAAAACATTAGTAATAGTAATAACCCTTTTATAATTTATTGTGTTTCTCTCATTTCTTAGTTTGTATTTTCACTCACTTGAATGTGCCACCTCAATTAACTCTAAACTCTTGCGGAATGTGTGGAGTTTTCTTTCACACTTTTTCTACCCCAGTGTGCACCTATCACTCTTAGATATATGTAAACATTTTGCGCACTGATATTTACTCCGCACTCAAGTGTGAAATTTTTTTTTTTAAATCTTTATATTACTTGTGAGTTTATTAAGTTTTTCCTTTTTTTTTTTTTTTTTTGTGATCACAAAAAAACTGTGCAAATTACGACATCTACACTTAGTGTATTGTTATAAATTCTCACTTTCCGCAAATGTACCATTTTTTCTTTCGTAACTAACTTTTTATTGCACTGCAAATTTTCATAAAGTATGTTGTTTTTATGATTTTAGAGCAACTTCAATCGTAATATTGGTCTTCTGGTAGCATTGGGTATAGGTTTTAGGTTGTTGGCATTTTTATTCGTATTGATTCGAGCCTACCGTGCAAAATAAATAGATATGTACAGAGCTCTGACAAATTCATGTTATTTATAAAAGTTTATTTATTACTCTATTGTATTTAAATACTGTGATTTTTTTATCTAAATGTGTAGGTTTTCGAATCGATTTCTAGGTGTGAAAAAACTTTCAATAAGATGTTATATATATTTTATAAATTATTTATCGATATTAAATAACATTTAATGTAACAAAAACAAGCATTTGTTAATATAGCTATTTTAACTAATTATCTTGTATATTAATGTTTTCTAGCTATTAACGTGACAATGTTGTTTGTTACATAATCTTACAGCTTCACTACCTAATTCACTTTACATTATGCAGTTTTTTCATTTTTCTTCGAAACTTGACACTTATTGATATTAAATTTGATTTTAATCTTGACAAAAACAGTTTTACTGGCTTAAGTTATAATCGTACGATGGACTGACTTTAAAAAACTTAAATGCTGTTCAGACTTAGACGTATGCAATATTTTGTTTTTAGAAACTTAGCGCGCTTATAACTTTTGCCTCAAGCATTTTTTTATATGAAATATTCAGTTTTCATATGAAATATACAGTTTTACTAAACGAACTAGTTAACTTTTTGCGCTTTTACAATAAAAGCTTTTGTTTCTAGCGATGATAATAAAATGGCAATAAATTTTACCCATACTGAATTAATTTATACCTCTAAAAATGAAAAAAGTAATCACTGGGTATATACGCAGTGAATAAGATTTAAAATTTTTTTGCAAATGGACCCCCTATTTGCAAACTTAAGGTCCCTTTTTTTCTTACCACTTTTTCTTTTATCATTTATTTCTTATTAGTATTTGCTATTCGTAAATATTTTTTTTATTTTTTTTTGTTTTTATTTTTCTTTTCTTTGTCGCATTTCATTACATTTCCAAAACTTCGTCATTTTTAAAGACCCCACTATTTTGACTTGCGACTAAAGACTCCAAAATTTTCGTATACTATCAAAGTTTTTTGTGCTTAATTGGTTATGGAAGTTTGAATACATACTAAATTTAAGTTGCAATATGTGACTGTTCATATATTGTAACTTAAATTTAGTATGTATTCAAACTTCCATAACCAATTAAGCACAAAAAACTTTGACAGTATACGAAAAGTTTGGAGTCTTTAGTCGCAAGCCAAAATAGTGGGGTCTTTAAAAATGACGAAGTTTTGGAAATGTAATGAAATGCGACAAAGAAAAGAAAAATAAAAACAAAAAAAAATATTTACGAATATCATATGCTTAGGATTGCCACAGCTCTTTTAAAATCCTCTAAAGTCATCTTTTTCGAAAATCTTCGTCTAAAATCATTTAACTTTAAAGATAATCTAACTTTGTATAGGACAATTCTAAAAAGTTAAAAATTTAATTAAATCTCCTTTTTAACTCCTCTATTTTATTTCATGGTGGTAGTGTTATGTTCAAAATACCCATTCCTGGTCTTCAAAACTGATTAACGCCTAAAAGCGCATCAGGTTGTAAAATATTGCCTCAGCAACTCCATATTATTTAACATAAAAAATGACATTATTGACTTTTCTAAACCTCATAAAAGTAGAATAATAAAAATCCTCTAATTTTATTCCAAATGGTGTAGTTTTGCAGGAAAAAAAAATCATCTAAATTAGATGCAAAATCTCCTTAAAAATCCTCTAATATCCTTTTTTCTTAGGATAACTTTTTTGTGGTAACCTGGTGCCGCTATTTCGGACTGATTTTATTACCTGCAGTAGTTATATCAATGTCTTGATTGTTTGGTTTGCATTTTTCATTCTATAAATATAGATAAATAACAGTGTAAGCAAGAATGAAATCTAGAACCATAGCAAAACTAAAAGCTAGCATTGGAAAAGGATGTCCTGCCAATGCTGATAAGAACAAATACAAATTAGTCGAACAAAATTTTTCTCTTCTGTATCATCAAGCTCAATAACATCCAAAAGTAATTCAGTTAATTTGTTGATTTCAAAAAATGTATAAAACTTTTTAATTAAAAAATACAAAATTTTAGTATCCTCAGCCTATTTCTTAAAAACCTAACACTGCTTGTAAATTAACATCAAATTTTTACAAACCGACGTTTGTCGGTTGTAATTTTTTGATGATTTGCTTTTGTTGCTTGTTGCTTTTCTAGAAAAATTTTGCTCTCAAAGATAAAAACAAAATAATTAAATAGTGCTATAATTTTTTTTTTGTTTTTTCGCATTATTATTAAAAGTTATATTTGTAGAACTAATTGTGATCTACAGTTAAAATTTTATATAAAATGTTGGTGTCCATTAAAATGTAGTAGTCAATAAAGGCCAACGCGAATAGGTGTCAAGTGTGTGTGTGGGGGGGGGGGGGGGAGGGAGGGGGAGGATGCCTTTACGGTTTTGCCTTTTAAAAAAAAAAAACACAATTTGTCGTTTTGCCGTTTGAATATAAAAAACGGTTCCAATTTGCCGGCTGAAAGTACTAAAGGTCCAAATTTGCCTACTAATCGTATAAAAATTCATTGCATTGGTGGAGGAGGGGGGGGGGGGAAGAGGTGTGGTCCTACGCACCCATTTCGCGCTGGCCTTGCAGTCAATTGTAACATTAGACTGATTGCGTTAGCGTGATTATTTTTTTAAATTACAAAACTTATAAAATCATTATTTGCAATATTTGCTGACGATTTACTACTTAAACAGTGTAAAAACATATTTTTATTAATGTTGTTACAACTTTTAAATAATTCGACTATCAACTAAACGGACAAGTATAATTTCTAAATATGGCTAATAAAATTTTGAAATATTTTGACTAAGTCGGCTAAAAGTCGATTTAGTCGAAAAACGGGAATCGAAGTGAATTATGACAAAAATAATAAAGTAATTTTTATTCGCTTTTTATACTTTAACATCATATCATTTAAATATTAATGTAAAAAAAAAAAAAAAAATTGAGAGCAGGATCACTCGGACGACGGGACAATTTAATTTCAACCGCCAGTGATTTAGGTCCGTCTTAAACTACTTGCTAAATATCAAAAAGTCAATGCAATCATATTTGAATTGAGGTTGTATAGATGAAATTTGGGCTTTAAAACTTATTTATTTTTGCCTCAGGGCTCCGAGTCAGCCTGGAACGGCCCTGTCTGAAAGTATTTTTGAAAATCGCTCGCATAGAATAAACAAACAAACAAAAAGTGAATGAAATACTTAAACGAAAGTTTAATTAGGTATAAATATTGCTAACATGCACTTTTGTTAAAATTCTAAGTGTTACTTTATTACTTTGTTGTTTAATTTTTTATTATAATTTTATTGATTAATTTTTTTCATGGGACAAGCTCAAAGTTTTTAATCTGCCATAAATATATGTTTTTTTAAAATAAATAACTCAAGTCATGTTCTACCACTAAAATAAAGTTAAAAGTATAAATACTAATCATAAAATATAATTAACCTGTTAGTAAATTAGATCAACGGCTCAAATAACTTTGTTGGAGCATTTCTGATCTTAGGTTAAAACGCATTAAATTTAAAGCTAAGAGTTTTTTAATTATCCAAGAAAATTCTACAATACTTTTTATTTGTAGCATATATATCTAATCTTTGAAGGTTCAATATCTTTTTTTTGTGATAATATAATGCTTTTAAAGACTGGTAAGTTTTCTTTTTATTTGAAAGATTAAAAATACTGACAAAAATATTATGTAGGCTTTAATACTGCCATTTATTATCTTTAAATCATTTTGCAGTATTTTATCGCATTATTTTTAGTATCTAAAATTTTTTTTTTTTTGGCTGAGCTTATTTTTGATATTTTTTTTACAATTGGGTTGTTTTTTATGAAATGCTCATTTATTATGCTTTTTAATCTACGTACTCCTTTCATATGGTAGTAGGTACTCTTCATGCGGTTGATTTCAGCATGAAAGTATTCATGCTCTCCATAAGTACCTAGTCCTACTCACCATTTTATAATGAAAGGTAACGCATGGTGCTCCAGCATATGAAGCTAGGGTGTGATTGAAACGTTTGGCCAGTTTTCACGGAAGTACTTCATAAAATCTTTGGTTTTCTCTATTTATTTTGTTTTGCCAAAAAATAACATATGACATACCGAGGTCCTGTTTGTTATCTTCATTGAACTGATTGCAAGAGTTAATAAGCTTGTGACAAATTCAAAACTTAGAAAAGAGCACCTCAAAGTTTTTACAAACTTCAATTGTTTCTTTGTGTATATTAGTGTCACTGAACCCAACTTTGACTACAAGGTTTGGTATGGAGTTCAAAGTTCAAGGATACTTTTCTCCTAATTTGATATATAAAAATATATGAAATATGTATTATATGTAGTAACTGTTATTATGTATCTAATTATGTCTAATAATGTTAGTATTAGCCATCTATTCCATTTACAAACACACACACTCACATGTATTTATACTGTATTGTACATTTAAACTTAGGTAAACTTTGTTTTTAGCAAAGAGTAGATTTTGTAAATTTAGGAAATATATACAAGATATTTTTTTACCTTTAACATTTTGTTAACATGATTACCAACAAAACTTTTCCCGTGATATGCTTGTCTTTGTACTCCTAATGAGTTAAGTACCTTATCATGTTTTTTTAAAAGTAGCCCAAATAATTTTATTATATGGTCTGCTTCAAGCAATATTTTCAATTCTGTGATCTATGATTAAATATGTTCTTGAGATAAATTCAAAAAAATGTAATCAATAAAACAAAACTTAGATATTCCAAAGTATAAGATTCTCAACTGTATATTTCCGGGTTTAATTACTAATCTAAATGAAATATTTTTAGTGAATAATAAAATTTAAAGTAGTTACCTGTTCTTTCTTTTTCTTTCCAAAGTGAATCAGGTGAGGTTCAAATACTAATTTAAATTTTTCTTCATTTTTAGGGTTGGAAAAGTATTTGCATTTCTTATTTTCAAGTTCTTGAATACTTATTTCAAGTTGATTTATTCGGCGCTAGTGCTCTATATATGCATTAAGTTCCTCACAGTCAAGCCTTTGGTTGTTTACTGCCATTCGACCTGCAATTTTTATGTTAATTGTGTGACAAGAGTCTATTAACATGTTGAAAAGCTTAAAGTATATACCAAGTGAGATATGTAAAGCAGGAACTCCTATCTAATAGTAAAAGAAAGTTTATATTATTTACAATTGCATACACCACCATTTACATTTACACCTCCAACAACTTGTATTATATTGAATAAACGATTATTCACGTGAATTTGCGAATAATAGAGCAGCATCTTTAATATTTCTTGGTATAATACTTGTTGAATCCAATGCAAATATATCTGAAAGGTTTGTTTGTGAAGTTGATGACGATAATGTTGATAATGATAATGTTGTTGAACTTGATACTGGAGTTGTCTGACAAGTTTTTTGATGTTTCTTTCGTTCTGACAGTTATGTGACTTTAAACAATCTACCACAACCTTGCTTGCATACTTTTTGAAAATTTTCTATTATTTCAATTACATTTATTGATGAAATTAACCCATTACTTGGAATTGAAAAGGAACATTTAGGGCATTTTGTTTTTGATATTAGTTTGCCAATGATAAGTGGTAACAGACATGGTGCGCAGAATGAATGAAGACAGTTTTTTATAATAATTGTTTTATGCATAATGTTGTTGCAAATAGTACACACACAAAGATGCACATGAGGGTTTAAGATGCAGTTAATATCTTGCAATTTAAGATTAAAATTTGTTTGAGGTAAAATTGTTAAGATTGTATGTCTAGTCCAAATATTTTCACTATAACTCATACTTGAAGGTTTTCCACTTGTTTTTTTTTTTTTTTTTTTTTTTTTCTTTCATTATTGGCTTTAAAGCAAACACATTCAAATAGATTGCAATTTTCAGGCCAAGATCTTAATTTTAGTTCAGTGTTTAAACCTTTTTCAATATTTCTATATATTTAAAAGCATCTATAACACATTTTTTGAGGATGCATATTTGGGTAATCCTAATCGATTCGGATAAAAAAACAAAATTCTATTCTAACAATATGTTTTATTAAAAGAATACAATCGTTATCTAGACTTTCTCCACATATTCTGCATAATGTAGTAGAAAAAAACCGGACTCGGATTTTTTTATTATTGTAAAGTTAAAACCTTCTTTTTTTAAAATATATATAGCTTTAAAGCATAAAAGTTCGGTTTTTTTATCATATAAAAATTAATAAATTTAAGTATTTCAAATAAAATATATTTTCCTTGGCCACATATTTTATCAGTATATGAATTTATATCTTGTATATACAATTTTAAAGCAATGATATGACCTTTTTTATTAGGTTACGGTAAAAAAACCATTACAAAAAAAAAATCAAAATTACAATGTAATTGTTGTTTCTAAAGTAACGCATGCGCATGATAAATGTCCCCAAATGCTTAAAATTAAACCACCGTCATATAAATAAATTCTAAGTTTTCGATTTTGTTGTTTTGTTGATTATTTTGCTAATTTTTTATTTTTTTACAATGTTTTGATGAATTTTTTTATTATGACTATTTTTTATGAACATTTAGTAACTCTAATTTTTGATTTATATGTTCCTTTCTGCATAATGCAAAAGCTCCTTGGATAACACATTTGAATAAAATTGTTTTTTTTGGATCATGGCAAGAATGCGTCTTTGTTTTCTATTTGTTATTAGCACCCCTGCGATAGGTATTAAAGAGGTATATTTCGGATTTGTTATTTGTTATTTAGAAATTAAAAAAAGTTAATTATGAGTGAACCAAAATCTTTTACAATTTTATATTTTATATTTGCATGTTGATTGTCTAACAGCTCCAATTGTTAACATACCTATTAAATGATTTTATATAAAGTAGTGGTGTAAGTCATGCCTGCAAACCTAAACATTTTAAGACTTAACACAATTCTTTTATTTCTAAATTAATTTTTGTATTATCATTAACTTTCACTACATTTATAATATGTGTTTCATAAAACCTAGATAATATCTCTAAGGAAAAAATTCAACGAAAGAGCATTAAACTAGGAAATTTGCGTCCCCTTTTTTACTAATGTTGTTTATAGGGCTAGAGCCGGCTATTAATTATTAAAATAATATAATTTAATGGGTTCTCAATGAGAAAGTATATATTGACACCGCTGGAATTTTCATAGTTTTTATTATTTATATTTACATGAATTATATTAAAATCTAACTTTTGTAAATACGTCATTGGTGCATTTTAAAGATAAAAAATATTTTAGAGACGATGCATTTCCACTTGCGCACATTAACAGCACTACACTGTCTTGTAAAATTGAAATTCAGCCCTATAAACAATTTGTACAGTTGCTCGTAAAAAAATGCTTCTGACCTCAAAACGTTTTGAAAAAAATGTGATTTTCGGTCAATAAAGACAAGTTTACCTAAAACGTCCATTTTGGCTATAAGTTGGAGGTATAACGTTGGCTATAAGGCAGAAGTATTAAAAGTAAAAGAAGCGTTAGTAAAAGAATAGATCCTGTAAAAGATAAATGAAGTAACATTAAATACAGAGTTAGCAGAGTATATGTATGTAATGCTACTATCTAAACCAAGTAGCAGAGTAGGAAGAACCTACAGAAAATGAGAAAAACAAACAGAAAAGAACCTACAAAAAATGAAGTAGTAAAAATCAAGGCAAAGCCAGAAAAAATGTAACGAGTTCTATGGTAAAAAACTGTTTTATTTTTATCTACGCTTTCAGATAAATTTTATCTTTACCAGATAAATTTGGTTTTAAAAGCATACCACTGAAATAAGCAAACACTGTTATTGTTACAACAATTACCAAAAGTTCAGTAAAAATGGAATTAAACGTAAAGTATAAAATTTTAAATATAGCAACAATGTGGTGGAATGTTGCAAAATTTAGAATATCTCAATGAGTGTCATTTTGTCAAAAAATAAAATAAGGAATAATGTCACAAATAAATTTAGTGAATAGTATCAAAATCAGAATAAGGAATAATGTAGCAAATGAGTTTAATGAACAGTGTCGAAAACAAAATAATAAGGAACATTGTCGTAAACTGTTTTAAATTGTATCGAGCACATAATAAATTCATTGACTTACTTAAATTGGTAGAACACGCATAAGTGTACATACATTAACTGACTTAAATATGTAAAATATGCAGTGAGTTCATTTTTCCTGTCACTCATAGTAAAAATAGTTCATTCTAGTTAGATAAACCCATAAAAATTTTAGGCTAATCTGTGTAATTAAATAAATACAGATACATAAAGCAAAAAAAGTACAAGCGGCATAAAAATCACTTTTTTTTTAATTTTTATATTAATTACAAAGCAATGCGACAAGACCGTTAGGTCTACTTATTTATCTTATAAATATCTAAAAAATAGGTCTAAAAGACATCTTTTGTTTATTGAGAGGACAGGTTCTGAATTTCCACTTTCAGACTATGATTCCCCCTCCCCCACCCATAAAGAAAATGTTAACATAATTTTCATTAAATTTAGCTAAATGTCTTATTGCATAAGATACCTAAAAAGTATAACAAATAAAACTATATGATTTATAATAAAGTTTATATAATAAAATTTATTTTAAATTAATAAATGTATGAATAACTTTGTCTGTTTTTTGTTTTTTTTTTGCAAAAAAATTTTCTCAAAAAGTCGCAGTCACAAACGTCATAAAGATAAGTCTGAAAGGTTATGTCATGGCGTTTTCAGACCTTGCAAATTTTTTTCCAATACTTTTAAAATAAACTGTTCATAAAATTCCCATGGTATTAGTTTGTATTAAAAATTAATTTGTTTGAAAAAAATCATTAAATATTAAAAAATCATTCAAATATTAAAAAGTTTAATTTAATTATTGAGCAATAAATCTTAAAATATGATCATTGGCAATACATTAAAAACATTTGTTATAATAATGTCAAAGTTTAATAAAATAATATTTAACTTAATTTTATAATATTTTAATTAAATTTTATATTAATGTTTAAAATTTTTTTTATTATTATAGTAGTTATTTTTACATAGATAAAATTTTTCTCAATGAAAATATTTAGATACTGTTTTAATATTTAAAATATTAGTAAATAATACTAGAACTCGAAAAATGGCATATAAAGTCATTTTTTGGCATATAAACCATTTAATGGCATATTATGTCATTTTTTGATTTTTTTGTAGGTATTGCTTTTTGTCTTACAAAGTCAGTATAACCTTTTTTTTGATGCGGTTTTATTTTTGTCTTTTTTATTTAATTTACGTCTTGATAATTTTCAATTATTCTACTGACGCAAAGAGAGAGATTTGTCGATACTTTCTCAAAGCAGCGTCAAAGTTACTGACGCCAATTTGCCGCTTTACGCTATGTACGTTTTATAAACTGAGTTATAAGATTTTGTCTTACCGTCACCAAGCAAATATTTTATTAATAAAGTGACTACAAAATAAAATGACGTTCTTGTCTGTAAATTGATGTTTTTTTGTGTTTGTTTATTTTGTGTTTGTTTTTTGTTTATACTTTTGATTTTTTTTACGTTACGCTGTGGTGATTCATTGTTAAAGTATTTTGAAATAACACTTTGTTATGAGACCTTGCCTAGGTTTAGAAATTTAAAACAATTGAAAAAAAAATTATCTTCAGACATAAATTTCCGCAAAAGAAACAACAAAAAACAAGCTCTTCAGATTGGGGTTACACCCCTCTTTTGGCCTTTGAACCATCCACGAAAAAATGTTTTAACTAACATTGTAAATAACTATAAAACAATTTTTTCCAGTTACCATAACAGTTTAGTTTTCTAAACTGACTCTTTTTTTTAATGAAACAATCAAGATTAAAAACATTTAATATTAAAATCGATCAGAAAAGGTATACTTTATCCAATGTAAATTTTGATTCGGGCATATCTCTTTGTTGATTTTATTTAATTTTATAATATTCGATTTTATTTAATTTTAACTAAAATTTTTAATTTAGTTTTAAATTTAGTTTTTTAATTTTTATTTGAAAGCTTTAACAAAGTTCCATACTTGCAACAAAACCTTTTGAACCTGTTATCAGCCAATATCTTGTATTTTTAAAAACTCTGTGATCCATTTTTTTGTGATACGACTTTATACCATCCTTGCTATAGCATAAATAGTAATGCTGGTCCACAAAGTCATTTCCATTTTGAGTTATGTCTTTATACTCTTCGAAATACTTATCTATCCCACTGTAAGTTGTTGGTATATTATTAAGCTCGTGATCTTTGCTATACGAAGACCAATCAATATAACCCCAACGCTGTTTCCACGAAAACCATGTTTCCACTTGATTGGTTATTAAAAACATAATAAAAAATAAAAGAGTCATCTTTAAAGATTAAATAAGAATTTTTCTTGTTAACTTGGTAAAACTTGACTTGATGAGATGTCTAGGATATTCTCTTTTTGAAAATGATACTTGTTTAATTAAATAAAATTCTAAAACTTTTTAATATATTTTTTTATACTTTTCCGTACTTTCAGTTGGAAGTGAAATAAGTTAAATTTAACAACTCGTTTGACAAATTTAGTAGCGTCAATTTATGAGTTTCTTTACATAAAGAGTTTGTGTTTTAAAAAAAATTGTTTTAGTAATAGTTCAATATATGATTCAGTAATCGAAATAATTGATTCAGTAATCGAAATAGATAATTTATATTTTGAATAAGTAAATTAATATTTAACCGTACTCAATTTCTCTTTATTCATTACATTTTATACATTTCTTATTCTATGTTTTTTGTAAATATGTTTTTATTAAACCCGTACTAAGTTACTTATATCAGATTTATATTCAGCAGTAAATACAGAGATCGCAGCACCGTGTGTTTGTGAGGAGGGGGAGAGAAGGGGGGAGTCGATGTAAGTTGTGGAAGTTTTTTTTTCTCGATAAAAAATAAAAAATAAAATAAAACATTTTCTAATAATAAAACATAATTTTTGCTTTTCTTTCCCTCACTACTTTTGGTGTTCTTTGTTACAGTTTAAAGAGCATTTTGTTATAAAATTTACAAGATAAAGTATAAAGATATAATAAAAACTACAAATAAAGACCGTAAATAAGTAAATAAAGAAAGTGGGGACTTGTGAAAGGCCGTAAGGTCTTGTCGTTGATAACCGCTAAAATGAACATGGTAAATAAAAGTGGTAAAAAGGTAAACATGATACCGTTTTTTCAAGTTATTATTTTGTGCTGAGGAAATGGTCATAAAGTCATAAATGTATATATATATATATATATATATATATATATATATATATATATATATATATATATATATATATATATATATATATATATATATATATATATATATATATATATATATATATATACATAATATATATATATATATATATATATATATATATATATATATATATATATATATATATATATATATATATATATATATATATATATATATATATATATATATATATACATATATTTAAAATTTTGCCGAAATCAGCGGATTTACAATTTTGCCGCTGATTTTGGCTATGAAAAAACTGCCGCACCTACATGCAAAAAAAAAGTGCATGAGGTCAAGAAAGGAATACGCGCAGCTTTCTAATCTCTGTATTTTTATTAAAACAATTATAATAAAATGACATAAAATAAACAAATAAACAGAATAAATGTCCTCTAAAAGAAAAAATTAAAATTTTTGAAAATTACTGCTATGAATTTTTTTTAAATTCGATTTTTTTTATAAATCGAATTTCTGAAAAGTGTTCCTTTAAAAAATTAATTTATTGTTTTTGTCGAACTGTTGAAATATTTTTGTATTTGCATCACATTTGTATCTCCTAAAAAAAAAAAAAAAAGGTTTCCCATTTCTTTTCATTTCATTTTTTTAGGATTTCAGATTCTGGTGCAGGAGGGAAAGGAGGTTGCATACCCCGATCCCCCTGGATCCGTCACTGGTTTTATGAAACCATATTTGTAATTATCTTTAAAAATCTGATAATCACTCAATAAGTTTATAAAAAAAGCTCTAATTACTTTTTATATCGTATAAGTTGATACTTTATTTTATAAAACATGTTTGTAAATGTCAAAATGATGCCTTTTTACATATGACAAAATAAATATACAGTTATATTTGATATACATTTCTTGCTTACTCGAAAACTGGAAATCTTGCGATAATCTTAAACAAATTTTTTTTGTTTTGTTTTTGTAAACGTTCTTTAATACTTTAAAAAACCGCGAAGCATTTTTTTTTTAGTTAAATAAATCCATGCGAAATAAAACTTGGTCATTGAGTGTTATACGCTTTATAGAAATGGAGTTTTATATATAGATATGGAGATTTAGATATCGATATGGAGTTTTAGATATAGATATAGAGTTTAGAATTATTATGAGAAGTTACATGAAGTGAAAACATCAAAACATATTTTGAAGACTTTTATAACGACATGTAAAAACATTAAAACATTTTTTGAGGACTCATATAGCAACATTTAAAAACATTAAAATATATTTTGAGGAAACATATTTTGAGGACTCATATAGCAACATTTAAAAAACTTCAAAAGTTCATCTTCAAAAGAATTACATCACGTAATTAGATACGCAACATAAAAAAAATATACAAAAAAAAAAAAATTATAATAATAAAGTGTGTTGTCATTAAGATTAAAGACTTGCCGCAGTAAACTTTGCACAACCACAAAGAATTAAACACTTTTCTTAAACAAATCTAACTGCGTTTATTTATTTTTCGTCTATTTAAAACATCTCGTATTTTTTCTATTATTATTTATTTATAATTATTTATATTAAATACAAAAAACAGGTAACTTTGTAATAGACATACAAGTCGGTAGGATAGTTGAGTTAGTACAAAACAGGTAGAAGAGGTAGTACAAAACGTTCGAAATCAGTATTACAGGTAGAAAAAAACAAAACAAAAAACATTTTGACATTAATGTCCTATTTTCCTTTTTTCTGTAAAATTTCAGCCTGGTTTACAAAACTTAATTCTGATTTGCAATTTATATATAATGCATTTCTTGTAAAAAAAATAAAATAATAAATTTTATGGAAAATTATGTTTTATAATCAAACGAACGAATCTCTAAACTTTGGCATCTACAAATTAATATTCATAGAAAAAATAAGTTCTTTTAAATCAATAAATTTAAACTTTCATTAAAAATTATCATAGCGTTCAAAAACAATCATACTAAGTTTATTTCCACCACCAACCCCATCCAGTTTATGAGATAACTGGGTGTCGAATCGTTATTATGTAAAAATGATCAACTTATATAATATATATATATATATATATATATATATATATATATATAATATATATATATATATATATATATATATATATATATATATATATATATATATATACATATATATATGTATATATACATATATATATGTATATATATATATATATATATATATATATATATATATATATATATATATATATATATATATATATATATATATATATATATATAGAGAGAGAGAGAGAGAGAGAGAGAGAGAGAGAGAGAGAGAAAGAGAGAGAGAGAAAGAGAAAAAGGAGAGAGAGAATCGCATATTAGTTACGTATGCAGTGAGCTAAGTTATTGACAAACACGAGTTAAAAAGTTTTAACAGGAATTTTAACAAAATGCACAACAAATACATACGATAAAAACATAAAATTATTAGTGCCTTTGCCATTTTTTTAAACTTATAGTTTTAAATAAACATTTTTAGAAACTTAATTTCTATGCAAATTCAGAAAGAAAAAAACAACAATAGAAAGAAGGTAATTATGTACTACCGCAGAGTGAAATAAAAAGTTCTCTTTTTAATTTTTCCAAAAAAGAATCATTCTTCTAACCAATAAAATTAACAACCGGTTCTTCATTAATTCCTACCTAAAAAATTATTTGTTTAGTTATTTCAAAATTATTTGTTTAGTTATTTCAAAATAATAATGGGCATTCTGTCTTTACAAATAACAAATTAATATTTTTAAATATTAACTTTTTCCTTCCCAACAAAGTTCTTCGTTTAGAAATAATAACGGAAAAATCATTTTTCTTTTTTCATTTTGCCCTACCGCTGTTTTTAATCTTTATCAAAAAATAATTCTTCATTACCTTTTTCTTAAATGAAATTTAACTTTTATTTGAACGAACTTAGAAAAATAACAAATTTTTCGTTAACCCTGATATTACACCGTTACCATGAAAATACGTTGAAAAATCAAGGTGGCTTTAAAAGAAAACTCATTTAAAGTAGGTCTGGCTTTTTTTATAACCTGGAGACATGAAGGATTATCCACAAATTGTCATTTTTATTTAAAATATAAATTCACAATAACCATGATGCAATTTTTTTTTAGAAGCAAAGTTTTAATTTGTGACATCAGTTTCTGTAACATTTTAATATAGTCTAACAATAAATTTAAAAGTTTCTAAAATTTTATTTAAAAAACTTTCAAAAAGGTGTTCTTTAAATCTTTGCAACACAAACTACTAATGAAGTAGATGTAAGATATAACTAAAAATTAAACAACAAAACTTCAATAAAAAAATTACAAAAACAACAATGCCAATAGCAATCAAGAGATACTCATAAAAATTGTTATCGTGAATTATGTACTAAAGAGGTATAAAAAAAACTCTAGCATCACACTTATGCTTTTGATACCTTGACCTTACTTGTTGCGCTGTTAAGACAGGTCATTCAGCATATATTTGGATTTTGCTATCAAAAAATCCCTGTTGACATTTCTGATAAAGATTAAGATGTGAAAATTTCATTCTTTTGTTATTGAACTTTTGTGTTTAGTGTTACAAAGTACGACGCAGCGCATTATTCACAAACTGTTCGTTTTAAAAGAATCTTCTGTGTTGGTAAGATATCAATAGATTGTAAGAAAGTCAATCACTTTAATTTTAAATATTTTACTTTTTTAGGCGACGAATTATTTATTAATGTTTTATTTTTTTTTTTTTAAAAACCGTAAAATAATACAAAATTAATAAAACACGAATTCCAAATATTGATTATTGTTTTTATTTTTGTTTGCATTATTTACATTACAAAATGACACTACAAGTGACGTACTCCATACCCAATTACAGTAATTGTGTTGAACGCACTAATCGATAAAGTAGGGCGCTTCAATGACTAATCTATTTTTTTAATTATTAAAAAAAATCAAAAATTTTGAGATTATATTTTTTATAAACGTTAAAAGTGTATATTTCGTAAAAGTGGTTCTGAAGGTTAAGGATTGTTTTTCTTTGTATTAAATTAACTCGTGTATTTTTACATTGCTTAATACTTTAGAAAACATTGTACGTTGAAATTTAAATGGATATTGGAAGCAGAAGTAAATGGTGGGTTTTTCTCGTTTTGAACTTTATTTTAGAACCCGCTTTTGGTTTACATGAAAATAACAGATTTTATGAAAGTAGTGATAAACCAATTAGAAGAGAAGAAATAAAAGCAGTACTTGAAGCAAAGTTTTTAAGTATTCTAGGACTACCATTTAAACCAGAGAAGCCAAAGAATAAAATAAAAATACCTAATCATGTCTGGAAACTATACTACAAATGGTCAGATAATACTTATCATGATCTTGATAAAAAAAATGCAGATACAATCCAGTTTCATTATCATAAAGGTATAACTGTGGTTTGTGTTTTATATATATATATATATATATATATATATATATATATATATATATATATATATATATATATATATATATATATATATATATATATATATATATATATATATATATATATATATATATATATAAACACACACACACACACACACACACACACACACACACACACACACACACACATGCATGCACATTTTATGTATAATATATATATATAAACTTATATATTTTAGAAAAGCCATTAATCAATCACGTGAATGAACAAAAATATAAACAAAACGTAGAACACCTTGAGTTTGAAATAAATTTTTTAAACGAGTGCAAGCAACTTCATCGCGCAGAATTACATGTCTTCAGCGAACCTCATAACGATCTTCGAGAAAGAAAACCATATCAAGTAACAATATACAGTAATAACGGCACTGTGCCTTTTATAAAGAAAAAAATTGCGGGATCACGTCTAGGCTTTACTACTTTAGAAGTCACTGAAATAGTTCAAAAAAATATGAATAATACTCCGGTATTAAATATCGGTATAACTCAAAACGACCGTTTACATCTTCGACGCCGAAGAAACACTGACGATAATGAATGGAACACCAAAAGGCCTGTTCTTGTCATTTATACTTTATGTGGGGAAAAAACAACAAAAGTTGAAAAAAGCCATCATAGAAGTAAAAGAGAAGCCATTGAGAAAAGTCCAAACAGCGACAATAAGCAAGATTTATGCCATTTACACCCGTTTGAATTTGACTTAGTAAAGGTTGGTTGGAATGAGTTTGTTTTGTATCCTTCTTTGTATAGATTAAACTTCTGTGCTGGAAAATGTCCGAATCCGCTAAGTCATCATTTTAATGGAACTAATCATGCGGTTATACAAAACAATGTTTTAAAAATAGCAAAAGACAAAGTTCCGCCATTATGCTGTATACCCAGCGAGCTTGAAGCGCAAACAATCATTTATATAGATCATGAAAATAAAATGATCATTAAAAGACCTGAGAAAATGATTGCAACTGCGTGCGGATGTCGTTAAAGTTAAGAAAATTGAATAAAAATGTATAACCACGTACGACAAAATACAGCCTATGTTACAACTGAAGAAAAAGTTGCAAAAAACCCATTTCTAAAACCTTTTAGAATATGAGATTACGATTAACCTAGTGTGTAATTCCTAACTTAGTAATCACCCGAAAATCAGTTAGGTAGCTGCGTAATTATTATGTGCTTTGAGAATATTTTAAAGTAATTACCATTATGTTAGTGGTTTTATCAAGTATCGATTTATTTGTTTCGACCTTAATTTAAATATATTTTATTGGAAACAATTTACAACTGAGAGGCAAAGAAAAAAAAAATTATCCACAAGTTTACATATATTACATATCGTTTTAATGAAAATCGTTTTCTGCCAAAAACTTTATTGTTTTTCACAACGAAGAATTTATCGATTGTTTTTGTATATCATTTTTGTTTGCGCTTATCTCACGCAAAACAAGAGAATGTTTGATAGTTTAAGTGCTTATTATTTTTCTTCTAAATATGAAAACACAACCGAATATTATATTCTAATCTTATTGTATTCTTGTTAATTTTGCTATTGAATGAATAGAATGAACAACTTTAATGTAATCGATATAACATTAGGAATCTTGGCGGCGTTTCTATAAAATCGTTAACAAATTGTTTAAACATAACTGGGACGAGTCTGCATCGGCGTTTTCGGTTTGATATAAGTTCAGAGGTACAATAATCTTGGATTTCCTTTTATAAAACTTTAATTTAATGATATAGTGTTCATTATTCTTCACCGTTAACAGCAAACAACCGCAGACAAAAAAAAAAAAAAAAGAGTACAATGGGAAGGTTTCTAGAAAAATGTTCCTTTGTGAAACTACTACAAATTATTAAACAAAATATTTAAACTAATATTTATTTGTCAATAAATTTTTGCTTATCTAATAAATTATTAATTTTACATCTAAAATAATTTTTTACATGTGAACTAAGCAAGATATTTTATTTTGTTATATATATATATATATATATATATATATATATATATATATATATATATGCAAATTTTTGAAGTTTGGAGTTAAATATAATCAGAAAAGTGATTTGTGGTTCGACTCGAAAAGTTCCATATATTTAAACCAAGCCAATATCGTAAAAACATTTATTTTATAATTTTTTGTAAAGTTGTAAAAATGTTTTGTTAAAAAATAACCCACGCGGGTCATTCACTTTATAATTTACAATAACATTCACGCCCGGCGCCCGAGAATAAGAATATTAAAGTTTTTATAAGTATTAGAAATAATGAAAAACCTAACTTTTTTAAAAATCGAGGTTCGTTTTCGGTTCGTGAATATATAGGTGACATCATTCGGTTTTTTCTTCAATGTTAAAATTTCTGATTCACAGGGCTCTCTCTCTCTCTCTCTCTCTCTCTCTCTCTCTCTTTATATATTTATATATATATATATATATATATATATATATATATATATATATATATATATATATATATATATATATATATATATATATATATATATATATATATATATATATATATATATATATATATATATATATATATATATATATATATATATATATATATATATATATATATATATATATATATATATATATGTATATTTACGGGCATTTTCAAACAATCGGCGCGAATAGAAGTTTTCAAACCATTAATTATTTAATAACGTCATTACAAATAATAGAAGGTTTTTTATTTATACCGATTGTGCGCATTTTTATTACTTTTATTGTTAACTGGTGGTATTTTAAAAACGCCTAAACTCGTTGTGAAATTAAAAAAAAAACGTGGTTTTTAAACACAATAGCATTGAGGACCAATAAAGAGCAATTAGAAATTTGTTAGATGCTTTTGATCTCATACAGTTCACCCACTTTGAGCCCTGGCTATTTAAAAGGGTTTTGTACAAGATTAGCTAAGTTTTCTTGCCGACCATTATTCTTGTCAACCTTAAACCATCATGTCAGAGAGCTTCATATTGCCGTAGCTATAAATTAAACTGTTAAGCTGTAGAATATACTAATTATATCACAAAACCATAAAAGTTAAAAAAATAGTAAGGTAAAGATAAAACTGCTTCACTTTAAAATATATTTTTTTCAAAAACAAAATGAATAAGTTTCTAATTTTAAAATTATTAACATTTAGACTTTTGAGAAGTGCAGAGATTATTATGAACTTGCGGAAAAAATTAATATAGAGCTGTTTCACACGCCTTGAACTTTATGAAATTCAAGTTTCATTTCTCTAAAATCATGCAGGTTTTTTTTTCTGAGTAATAAAATACTCAAAGACATCAATAGAATGGCTGACTAAATTTCTCTCTCCAAAAACAATGGTTTACAAAATGGTTTAAAATCAGATGTAAAGTACATAGAAAATAACTCTAAACAAGTTATTTTTTCTAACGGCAGACTTTTTTTAAAATCAGTAGAAATAAAATAAGAATGAAATCAATAGAAATAGCACTTTGATTTTTATCTTGTCAAAAATAAATGTAATAAATATACTTAGCAATGTCGTTTTAAACTTTTTTTTATCTACATTGCATTATTTTTAATTTACACTTTTAAGATCAACAAGACTACTGAAAATGTATATTGAGCCTGCTGCAAAGGTGAAATTCAAATCATGGTAAACCTTAGAGGTGTTTGTTGCGGGCGTTAGCATGTTTAATCGAGATCACAATATAAAAAAAGTATAAAGTTCTGTATTCAAAGTAAAGGGAGGTCCATAAAGGTGTAAAAACAGATAGAATCAAAGCTGAAATCTTTCTGAAAGCAGTTTTTGTTAATAAACACTAGCCACTAGGTCTTGAGTTATTGTTTGGGTACAAAGAACTCCAAAACTTTTAAAATCTTTCAAAGTTGCTAACAACATATCAGAACTCACAGTAAAACTGTAAATCTATTAAACATAATTTAAAAAATTTATTTTAAAAGTAAAATGCTGAGTAGGATACTTATTTCTTAACACAAGAAACGTATTTCATGTTTTAAGAAAAATATTTCGTAATAAAAATTTCAACGACTGCTTCTTCGTTTTCTTGTTTTTAAATGGTTCTGATAAATTGAATTTTGATCCAATATCTAATTGTAAACTCTTAACCTTAAAAGTACATTTAAAAAATATTTTTTTACATATTTTCCTGAGATATTTGTCTAAAACTGAAAATTTATATGTATACAAATATTTATTGCACATTTGCAGGGTTTAAACGCTGAATTCTGAAGCAAACTTGTTTCAGAAACAAGAGATCTATGGCAGTTACGGATTTAGCTTTTTTTGGTGTTTGAGATATTACTTGAAATATCTGTATGTTTATACTTATGTCAAATAACGGTGCTTTTTAAAAAGTCGCAATAATTGGGAGGCTGGGAACAAAAAGCCCCAAAATTCAATCCCCTTGCCCCAAACATGAAAGTAACAAATTGATGAAATGTTTTTGTATATATATATATATATATATATATATATATATATATATATATATATATATATATATATATATATATATATATATATATATATATATATATATATATATATATATATATATATATATATATATATATATATATATATATATATATATATATATATATATATTTAAACAATTTAAAATGTATTCTACAAAATAAGTGCTTAATGTTCTTAAAAGAACAGAGCAATTACAAATTAGTATAAAATCACTTAGCAAAATTTTTTCTCATTTAACACTGTGTTTCATCAATAAAGACTCATCAGAAATCTTTATTGATAAAACACAGTGTTAAATGAGAAAAAATTTTGCTAAGTGATTTTCAACTAATTTGTAATTGCTCTTTTAAGAACATTAAGCACTCTTTTTGTAGAATACATTTTAAATTGTTTAAATATATATATATATATATATATATATATATATATATATATATATATATATATATATATATATATATATATATATATACACATATATATTCCGAAGATCGTCGACAGTTTACCTTTGACTAAAAAAGGAAGGATTAAGGATAGTAGATCTAATCAAATAGTTTACTAAGGAAATATCATTCTTTATCTATAATATCAATTCACTCATTCGTCATTATCCCGAGGGTTTTTAAAAAGATCTTCGAATAAAATGATAGGTAGTGAATGCTCTCCACGAACTAAAAGACCGTCATTCTCTTAACGATCAATCAGATCTGTTGCATCAAATTCATTTTCATCTAAACAATCAGCAGTTTCCGAACTCCTTTTTAGGGCGTTATCTGGAATTAAAAAATGGTCGGACCTTTTTAGTAGAATAGCGTCTTGTAACGTAAGAATTAATAAAAACGTGCTTTTTCAGTCTTCCTTTAGAGGCAAAGTAGACATTTCATCTTATGCAGATTGACAATAGGCATCGTAGGAAAGAATTTTAATATTCAGGCAAATTTAATATTCAAAGCACGGCGAAAAATACAAGGTTTGATGCAGTAAACATAAACAGGAAAAATGCTCATAGATGACGTAAATAAAAACCTTTTTTTTAAAAAAAAAAAAAGAATAGTTGACATCGTTTTGGTCTTAACACCTCTCTCTATTGTCATCATGATTAAACTTTTTAGCACCTATTCAGCGTTATATTGACTGACATCATTTATGAATGACCTAGTATATATGTATTGATTTATGAAGATTAATCAATAGAAATATAGTAGAATAGAATTAGATATGTGTTTAATAGAATAGAGTAGAATAAAATTTGGTATTCAATCAAATTTAGGTGTATACATACGCATTAATTCCCCTATTTGTCGTGAAATCAGGTTCGAATCCTTTGACCATTCTTTTATGTGCTTTCCCTAGCACCTCTTCACTCTATCACCTTTCTCTTTGTTCTTTATCGTTCTCCTTCTTCCCATTATTGCACTCTCTTAGATGTTATCTCTGATCAAATTGACCATGCCCTCTCTCTTTACCCCTCTGCCAATATTGTTGTTGTTGGTGATTTTAATGCCCATTGCACTGAATGGCTTGGCTCTAACACCACTGATCCTGCTGGCACTAAAGCCTTTAACTTCTGCGTTTCTCAATCTCTTACTCAGATAGTTAACTTTGTGACTCGTTTTCCTGACAACCCTAATTATTTACCTTCACTCCTTGACTTATGTCTTGTCTCTGACCCTAGCTTATGTTCAGTTTCTCCCTTTTCTCCCTTAGGTGGTTCTGACCATGCAATGATCTCTACAAATCTTTCTTCTCATAATTCTTTTTTGGGCTCACCTTATCATCGCACCACCTACTACTACCCTAAAGCTGACTGGGATTCCTTTCGTGATTTTCTTCGTGATGGTCCTTGGGCTGATGTTTTTTCTCTCTCAGCTGACAAATGCGCCTCCTACATAACCTCCTGGATTCAGGCTGGAATGGAAGCTTTTATTCCTTCTCGTCGGTTTCAAGTCAAGCCTCACTCTACTCCATGGTTTTCTCCTTCTTGTGCGGCTGCTATATCCAATCGTAACCATTTTTTTCATCTTTTTCAAAAGAACAACTCTCTTGAGAACAAACGGCTATTTATTATTGCAAGAAATCGATGTAAAAAGGTGCTTTCTGATGCTAAACTCCATTATTCTCAGTTCACTAAATCTGGCATCTTATCGCAGAAGTTAAGCTCTAAAGACTTTTGAAAAATCTTCAACAGCATTGTTAACAAGGGTGGATCTAACATTCCATCTCTCATTTATGGGACTGATCTTATTACCTCTCCCAAGGATAAGGCAGAACTATTTGCAAAGAACTTTTCTTCTAATTCCACTCTTGA